GTAAAATAATTTAATTTAATTAAAGAGTTTTAATGAATTAAATATAATTTATGTTTATTAATTATTTTAGTTTAATCCAGTCTATATTAATTTAAATTATTTTATAACTATTTAGGAGTGTTAATTAATTTCATTTCATTTAGTTTAAGTTATATTTTTTTTTGAACCGTTAAGTAATGTAATTTAATTTAGGAGTATTAATGAATTAAATGTAATTTATGTTTGTTAATTAATTTAGTTTAATTCAATCTATATTAATTTAAATTATTTTATGACACACACGTAACTTGCTATGCTGCATAGAACGTTTGCCACGTGTTAGAAAAGCTGACTAAACCTGCTATGCTGCATAGCACATTTGATGCCACATAATCTCGCTTCACTGCTCAGTGGCTTACGTGGCCATGCATGCACTTTCTGCCACGTGTCCACACCTAACTCATTAGGCGTTGTAGCGAGTTAGGTAACGTGGTATTTTGAAAAAAAAAATTGAAGAGCATGACATTCAGGTACTTTTTTGCAAAAAGTGTGGCACTTTGATCGTTGTGCCCCAAATTTACCTTTAAAAAAATACATCTATTTATAGTTGAGTGATACTTCTTTAACGACAGAATCTATGCAACAAACAACGAAATAATAAAGTTAATTTTTAGATAATAATAATAATAGAACTAATTATAATAATAAACCAAATGATGGTAATTCAGTTGGTGTATGGGAGCTGAGCATGTGAGGGTGAGAGCATGTATTCGATCCCCCTTAGTACCATATTTGAGAGGAGTTTAAAGTCTTAATTCTGGACCCACTTTGAACAGTATTATCCCCCGTGGAGGATACCTGTGGTCTATAAAAAAAATTACAATATAATAGAATTTACCAAGATAAACTATTTATTTATGAGTTCGCTTCTTCTGTAGTTGCTGCAGATAAGTTATCTGCAGTAAACCTGATACGATGTCGTTTTGGGACAGAAATCATGGTATTTTGATAATTTTAATTTATTTCAGAGTTTTTATAGTCTTTGTAATTATAATTTTTTAATCTTTCAATTCTAAAATGACGTTATTTTGAAAATAAATAAATGCAGATAACTTATCTGTTAACTGCAGAAATATTTTTCTGCTAGTTTATACAATAAATAATAAGGTAAGGAATTGAAGGAATGTTTATTTTCGTTTTTTTATGAGTTATTTTCTTATTGTTGTCTTCTTATTTGAAAGGCATATTTACTTTAATATTTATTGCAAAAAAAAAAAAAATTGAAAAGGAAAATGAGAAAGAAAACACGTGGTTATGCTTAAAGAATTATAAAAATGGTACTATATATTGTCAGCATGAAGCCAAGGCAAGGCAAGGCAATATTATGTTAATTCCAAGTCCATTGCCCTTACCCTTACCCCTTGGAACTGGCTTGGGTTTGGCATAAGCTGTGTTCATAGTGGTCTATGTGTATATATAGCCTTTTTCTTACAGGGGTTCATCTCAAATTTCACTTGCATTTGAGTTTCACCTTCATTTTGTCTGCATTTCCTCCTATGTTGTACGGTGAAAAAGAAGAAGCTGCTGTCTGTCACCATAACCATGTCAAAACAAATACTAGATTTATAAGTATTCGTCTTTGATATTAGAAAAATAAATATTAACTTTACCGATAGTTTATAATAAAATTATATTTCATCCTTTACACTCTATTTTTTACATTGTAAGGAATTTTTACACTATGTTTATTTGAAAAATGTCAAATAACAAAGATGTGTAAGGTATTAAAATATTGTTTTGAAAAAATAAATGCTATTGTCTCAAATAATTATATGCAATGTTAATAAAATCGGACCGATTCGGTCGAGTCGATCCGAAAATCAGTAAATCGGTCATATAACCAGTTCGATTGAAGCAACAGACCGGCCATGCATCGGAACCGGTGCGACCCGGCTGGTTTTCATGAAAATTGGTGACCCGATCGGTTAATCGATGACCCGGCCCGGTCCCAAAAAGAAAAAATTCCAATTTTTTTTCTTTCAAATAAAACATAATGGACATATTTGAATATTTTTTGCTTATTGACTTACATAAGTTATGTACTTAACTCACTAATATTATCTTAGTTATGCACTAAGTAAACTTTTTTGATTTGATTTATAGTTAAAGATATCGTTTACTGAACCTGAAGCCCTTATCACGATCATTATATTTTTGTTTGGTTCTTTATTGGATAATAATATGTGATTTATTATTTTTTATATTAATATATTTTAAATTTTTATCATTTTTTTTGGATATTTAAGTATGTGTATAACTTTTTAATATAAATCATAGAATTGTATATAATTACCGGATCATGCGATTGAATCGGTGACCTAGCAAACCCGGACACGTCTTTTTTTTTGAAAAATAGCGTGTCCGACACGGACACGCTCCGACACGTGGTCAACTCTCTGACACGCTCCGACATGTTTTTCCAACACGCAGTCAACTTTTTCGGACACGTGGTCAACGCTCGGACACATTTTTTTTTAGTCTTAATTTTATTTTATTAACTAAAAATAAAAAAAATCATTTACAAATAAATTTTTTTCTGTTATGAAATTTGACATGTTATTTTTGTTTATATTTTTGTTATGAAATTTAAATATTTGATTGGTTATAAGACTTATTATGGACTGTTATAACTATTAAATAGATATATTATATATATTAAAAATATTATTTAATATCAAAACGTATCTCAACGTGTCGAAATATGCTATTTTTTAGAATTAACGTGTCAGCGTGTCGTGTCGTATCGTGTCCTATGTTACGTGTCAGTGTCCGTACATCATAATCGGTGACTCATTAGTTGAACCAGTGATCCAGTATTTCGATCGGATTAGTTATCAAGCCGGTTTTAATAAGATTGATTATATGTCTTGTTCTGTTGAGCAGCACGCAGCTGTGATGGCGCGTGAAACATTAGGCCAATTTTGTTGAATGAATGGATGGAGATGAGTTGGGAAGAGAAGGGAGTGGTATGCCCATTCTGCTTACCGACCTGTGCTTCTTCAATCAAATTTCCATTTTCGTCGTTGGTCCCCATATTTCTCTTTCTACTTATGGCCACTCGGATTATTCACATTTGAGGCTTATTTTTTTTTTCTTTTTTCATTATGCTTAAATTTGAAAGGAAAAAAAAAAAAAAAAAACTCAACTACTTGGTTTGGAATTTGGATGGCGGAGGTAAAGGATATTTATGTGTCTCTATTTGTAATTTTCATATCACTTTCTCTACATAATAATCAAATTAATATGCAACTAAAAAAGTACAACTGTCTGTTATAAAAAAAAAAAAAAAGTACAACTGTCGCGATGCTTCACAAATTGATTACACGTTTCCTTTTTTGAGTAGGAAAATGTATCACCTTCCATTGAAAAAGCAATTGTACATTTAACATTTCGTAACTTTCACAAAAAGGATATATAAAATAAGGGATTTGCATTTGTCATTTAACATGACACAACAAACTTTTCTACACATAATATTTTGTGGGGCTCACACTTTTGAAGAAAATAAAATAAAATAATGACATGCAAAACGAATCTCTATAACATTACACAATCACTTTTTTTACATCATAACTCTTATAAAACCCATAGAATAAAATAAAATAAAAGGGATTAACGAATTAGTAGAGAGGAGAGAGAAATGCATGTCCATCAGTCCATGTCTGTTTTTTACTATCTAATACAATTACAGTTGTGTGTTTAAATTAGTTTATCCTGAAGAAATATATATGTTTTTTTAATGAAAATTTGAAATTATTTATTTTGAATTGACTTTTTTCAAACATCTACTGAATATAATATTTTATATTAAATTTGTTTGTTGAGCCACTCGTACCTAACCATTTGGCACAAATATGCACAAAGCTCTACTTAAATCTATACATAGACACATACATGGTTAAGAATGAATGGCTCCACAAACCATGTAAGTGCAGACACATGGATTAATCAGTATTGTTAAATTTGGACCAACCATCGATTTAATCAGAATACCAAATTACTGGTTCATCTAATTTTAATAAGATTAGCTTAAACTGTCAATAAAATGATATAAAACAAACATATAAGTCTCCAAAATAATATAACTAATTGGGGTATGATATTTTTATATGGGTGTAAGAATAAGAAATTTTATCCCAAATCTTGACTATTGATTTGCTTGTATCTAACGACTCAAATATTTAATAATTCAGAACCACTAAATAAAAATAAGATCAATGATTAAAATTACAAATATAATTTACATCAATGTAAAATGATCATAATCCTAATTAATAATCGATTCATTTTTTCTACAGTTAATATAGATAACTTATTTAAATTGAGTCTAAAATATTTTCATTTTGAGACGGAAATCAAGGTATTTTTGTAATTATAATTTATTTTAAGGTTATAATAGTCTTTTTTATTATACTTTATTAATTTTTCAACCCAAAAGGCCCAAATGATATCATTTTGGGAACAAATGTAGATAACTTATCTACATTTATTATAGAAATATTAAAACCATTAATAATATATAGAACTAGAAAAATGTTATATTTATAAATTTTTTATTTATAAATTATACTATGCCTGACCGGTAATACACTCTTAATTTAAAAAATATATTACCGATCAGACATGAGATATAATATAATTTATAAGTTTATAAAAAAAAAAAAATTATCAATAGAACTAAGGAAGAGCAAAATATCAATACATAAGTGCCCCCTTTACAAACCATCTGTACTGTAGTCAATAAAGCGAAATAATTTCTGCTATCTTTTCTTTTTCCACTGATTGCTTACGCTGTCGTGTAGCTACTTGTCTGGGATTCTAAATCTTCTCCTCTCTCTACTCTATCGTTACTCTGTCCGAATCTTCACTCACTTTGTTCCCAAAATTCAAGTACTTGATCACTTGGGTGGCCAGAAAATTACTTCCAAAGTTTCTTTTTTTACTACCCTTTTGACCACAAAATGGGTTGTCATGGTAGCAAGGAAAAAAAATCAAGGGCTGAGTTTATTGGGCATGGATCAAACACAGGTGGTGGCGGTGGTGGTGTTACTCACCGCACTGTTGAGCAGCCACCTACTAGGCAGGTTCAGACATCAGCACCCAAGCCAGTGTCACAGTCACAGTCACAGGCTCCAATGGTGACCCAACCAAATCCAAATCCAAATCCAAAACCTTCTTCTGCTCAGAATGTGAGTGTGAGTGTGAGTGCGGTTCAAAAGGCAGAAGTAACAATACTGGGAAAACCCTTTGAAGATATAAAGAAGCACTACACATTGGGGAAAGAATTGGGTAGAGGGCAATTTGGGATTACGTATCTGTGCACTGAGAATTCCACCGGGCTCACTTATGCTTGCAAATCCATTTTGAAGAGGAAACTTGTTTCCAAAGCTGACAAAGAAGACATGAAGAGAGAGATTCATATTATGCAGCATTTGTCAGGGCAACCCAACATTGTAGAATTCAAGGGTGCTTATGAGGATAGGTATTCGGTGCACCTTGTGATGGAACTCTGTGCTGGTGGAGAGCTCTTCGATCGAATCATTGCTCAGGGTCACTATTCAGAGAGTGCAGCTGCATCTATTTGCAGAGCCATTGTTAATGTTGTGCACATTTGCCATTTCATGGGTGTCATGCATCGCGATCTAAAGCCTGAGAATTTCTTGCTTTCTAGCAAGGATGAGGGAGCAACGATCAAGGCAACTGATTTTGGACTTTCTGTATTCATTGAAGAAGGTGAAGCTTTTCCTTTGCTTACGAGATATATTTATATGCACTTCAGCCATTAGTTTTGCCACTGTGTTTTACCCCTGCTAATATTCTATTTATGTGGTTCTTGTTATCTCGGATTATTTCTCATCAGAATTTCCTGCTTTAGATATTGAGGATGCAGAAGACGAATAATCATGCAAGAAATTTGGTTCTTTTTTTGTTTTCTAGTTATTTATTATGAGTAATTTTAACTGTTACTCTGCAAAAGAATGATTTTACTAGATGGGATGCTCATCTTTTGGTAGAATGCTATCCGTTTTCTATATTTGCGTGTATATTCATTTCCACTGGTAAACCCTTCAGACCTCAACATTTAGTTGAGTCATAACTCATAAGTACGTTGATAGGCCAAGCTTTCGGAGTTTAATACTAAAGCCAAACTTTATGTTTAACATGAGCTGTGAGATTTGAGAACTTCATATACCACCGCCCTCCGCAGATCATGAGGTATTAGTTTCTAATCATTTTACCTTGATAACTACCCTGTAACGACTCTTGGATTTGGAACAAACAATTCCATACTTATAACTTGTTGGAGTGAGATTGATTTTTGATGTATATGATTAATACATTGTAAAAATTGATATTTGATAATTGGTATCCTAACGTTTTGTTTGCTTTTAAGCATATTTTAGATCAGATACATTGGTTTCTATTTCCATTCAGTTGGTTGTATCAAAGTGTATTCAGCATAGCTGAAATTTTTTGTCCATTTTCATTACATTTTATCTTGAATTCTAATTGCGTTTGACTGCTATGTTAGTTCCAAAGGAATTATATGTTGTTACCTGATATGGCCATTACTTTCACGGTTGATAGTTCACAATTTTTTCTAAAATTTATGTCAGGGAAGGTTTACCGTGATATGGTGGGCAGTGCTTACTATGTTGCTCCTGAGGTATTGCGTCGTAGTTATGGAAAGGAAATAGATATTTGGAGTGCAGGCATCATGTTGTATATTCTCCTGAGTGGTGTACCACCTTTTTGGGCCGGTAAGACCAAATTGTAATCTGAAAATATTGCATATTTACAGTTTATGGTTGAGTTTCTTATTTAAAAATTAATACTTCAATGTACAATGGGGTAAGAATATGGTGTTAATATCTTTTGCAGAAACTGAAAAGGGAATATTTAATGCCATATTGGAAGGTGAAATTGACTTTGTAAGTGAACCATGGCCATCAATATCAGACAGTGCTAAAGATCTAGTCAGGAAAATGCTAATACAGGATCCAAAGAAGCGGATTACTTCTGCGCAAGTCCTTGGTATTAGACTACTATTTCTATTTTTTCTCAAGTAACTTTCATCATAGTAGTGCTTCTTTAATTAAATTAAAAGCATTCTTATTTTTGCTAGTATTAGTTTAGCAGTTTAATTGTCCTCCTTTCAGTTTTTGTTACAAATTTTGCAATTTCCTTTATCTGCTTCTACTCTCCCTCGTTATGTAATATATAGGCAGTAAGACTATTGATTTTTCAGTTAAACAGGGAAAAAAAAAGGGAACAAAAAACAAAATCCAAACTGGGAAAATGATATTAGCATAGAAACTATATGTTGCTATCACATTGTCACCAACTAAGTAAATTCTCATCATTAGTTTGCATTGGCACTGTTTTGTCTAACTTCTCTATTACACTTAACCTGACTAAGATTGATTATTTGTTTGGCAAGAACACCCATGGATGAGAGAAGGCGGAGAGGCATCTGATAAACCGATTGATAGTGCAGTTTTATCTAGAATGAAACAATTCAGGGCAATGAATAAGCTCAAGAAGCTTGCGTTGAAGGTATGGCATCAAACTTGGATCACAAGCGACTATATTCTGTGTCCTTTTTTTGATGGGTCCCTGAGATTGTTGAGGATTGCCAATTTCTCTTTTGATTGCAGTTTTTAAACTTTGCATATATTTACTTATTCTTGAATATGACTATAATATGATATTATGATAGAACTTTTGTTTGTTCTGTCTGGTATATGAGCCTTTGTTGCTTTGCTTTCACTTGAAACAAGTCAATAAAGCTTGTTCAATTAGCCGTTTGCAACTTTCATCTCAATTAATATTACAACAACAATCAAGCCTGGGTCAACTACATAGAACAGACGATGCCATTAGGCTCCTTAAAAAAACCAAAATTTCAATAAAAGCATTCAGAGCAAATTCTCTTTCTAATAGTTTGTCCTAAAGTTTCAGTCAGCATAAACATGCACAGATGAGATGAACACATTTAGACTTGTCTAGTGTATTGATACAGAACAGAAAAATTGGCGTACTGAAGGTTTAAACTTTCCAGATACTGCTTTCATTCTGGAGGGGAACCTCTAGTGCCGTCACTAAAGCTTGGATGGATGTAGAGTGTTTCCTTTTTATCACTTGCACAAGTACCGAGATTATTTTGAGTTACATGTTCCAGCTTATTTCTTCCCTGAATATTTCTCCATTATCAACGTTTGTGGAAATTTCTGTAGGTTATTGCTGAAAATCTATCAGAAGAGGAGATTAAAGGTCTCAAAGCAATGTTTGCAAATATGGACACTGACAATAGTGGCACTATCACCTATGAAGAATTGAAGACAGGCTTGGCTCGAATCGGATCGCGACTATCTGAGGCTGAAGTGAAGCAACTCATGGAAGCTGTAAGTAGTTACAGATCAAGACCAAAAGCATAACTAGTTGAACACGTGTGCATTCCTTATATCTTAAGCTCAAAAGGATTCTTGTTCTCGTGTATAATATTTCTCAGGCTGATGTTGATGGAAATGGGTCAATTGACTATATTGAATTCATATCAGCTACAATGCATAGGCACAGACTTGAACGGGATGAACATCTTTACAAAGCATTCCAGTATTTTGATAAGGATAACAGTGGGTGAGTACTATAAGATTGGTATTTTAATGTTACCCATATTGCAATTTATCTCTAACCATTTTTTCTTTAAAGCCACACACTCATCTTTTAGTTTTGAACTGTTTTATCCTCTGCCATTATTGTAGTTTGAGTTCTTCTTCAATATAATCACTCCCCATTAAACCACGACTAGCGAGGGTAGGGATGAAGACAATCCTTGTATGCAATCTTACCCTTACATATTTGTAAAGAAATTATTTTCCGATTTCGAACCCGTGACCTTTCAGTCACAAAGGAGCAGCACTAGGCTCACCCTCTTCTTCAATGTTGATTACAAATCTGCAATGAGAATATTTATTTTCAACTTCAGTCTCCAAGTCCATATCAGACAGTACCATCGCATTTGAACAAACTTGACAGCCCTTTTGGCTCGATAGCCTGATCTGTGACATGTACATTTGGTACTGTCATGTCATGCTCAGGCATTATTTTTTGCTGCAGTATGGATATTATATCAATGACGTTTCACTATTAAACTAGATTAATTTACTTTATGAATTTCTGATTTCAGGGGTACGCATAGTTGATTGATTTAAGTAGTGAATTACTAAATCAAATCTATGAAAAATTTAATAGTAGCTTAAGTTGTTGAGTGTATAAAATTTATGGCTGAGAATGACTACTTTGCTTCTTTAAATTCACGGACAGCCATATTACTAGAGATGAATTGGAGACTGCTATGACACAGCATGGAATGGGGGATGAAGCAACAATAAAGGAAATAATTTCTGAGGTGGATACAGATAATGTAAGTCGGTTCTAATTTAATCAGTGAAACTCAATGTCTATTCATATTGTTACTAATGATTCTTAAACTAACTAATGAATCTTAAACTGACAGGATGGAAGAATAAACTATGAGGAGTTCTGTGCAATGATGAGAAGCGGAATGCCACACCAGGGACAACTACTTTAAATCTACTGAATGCAATCAATTTTACAATCTCGTGTGATTCATCATGAACGCCAATTGGTTTAGTGACTTAACATTGTTGGCTAGAAGCATTATCTCTGGGAATGTGTAACGGGGCACTTCATGGATTCTTGATTTCTTTCAAGTTCTTTGCAATCCCAATTTTCGTACAAAGTTGGTTTTGTGCTGGAGTGCTAAGAATGGGTTGCATGAAGATTGTTCTGTACTTCTGTCTACATTTGGTTTCCGGCTGTCACATTTTCAAGTGTGTAACCGAAGCCTGAATTTTTATATTCAGATGCTAACTATGGTATCACATATAGAGTTTCTTTTTTATTTTGTCTGAGGAATGAATAATTGTAACGCCCGGTCGCTTCAAGAATCAATGACTATTCCCACATATTAATACGAGATTTTTCAGTGTGTTTTTTCTTCACTCGCACATTTCCTGGAAAAACTTCCCAGGAAGTTATTCATCTCAAAATTAGATGCAAGTCAAGCACGCTTAATTATGGAGTTTTTTCGTTTCGGACTACCGAAAAGTAGATGTATCTTGTTAGTATAGGGAGTACCAATTAATTATTATAAGTTATCCCCAACTGTGCAGTCTCATAGCTGCACAGTCTTTGGAATCTCTTTCTTTCGGGTGTCGATTCGATTTATTCATGTTCTCGCTGGAAGCCTGTCAGGAGCTGCTCTTTGTCTGTGTCCTTTCACACTATGCCCTTTCGCACCGGCGATCACTTTCCGCCCTTGTCAGCCCTAGGATGTTACAATAATCAGGGGAGGGAATTGATTTTCTTAACCAGTATATTGAAGTACAAACTTAAATCTTTTGTTCACATAGTGTTGATAATCTTGTGTATATCCTAGATTTCCTTCTTTCTTTTTCCTCTTCTTCTTATGGGTAAGAGCTATCTTTATAAATCATTTACTCATCCCCATGCTCCGACGCACTAAATTTAAACTAGTGTCCGTTTATTAAGCATCTGCTAAAAGGATAAACTTGATGACATGAAAATGCAGTATTCTTCAGGCAAAAGAAACATGAAATGCAGTGATCTTATTAAAAATAAAATAAAATCCCTTAGAAGCATTGTGGGCCCGAAGTTTCATATTTCAGTTCTTGGCTTTTTGGGGTAACCTCCAAGTAATCTGGCTACACTTCCTAAGAATAATCAACGGGCGCTCCAATTGTTGTAAAAGAAGAAATGCTTGCAGCTAATGGATTTAGTTTAATATTAGTAAGATGGTATCCAAGGCTTTAGCTTCATATTCCCCTGACAAAAATTGTATTAAGGGACAACCATCTAAATTACTGATCCACGTGAGGTTGTTTTATTATACTGTGTATGATGCAGCCCACAAAGCATATAATATGCACGTGTGCACGCCCTTTCTTTATGTGTATATTTGGGAAAAGGCGTCTCATAGACTCTTTAGTCAAGACAGAGTGCTTATTCTATCCCTTTTTTAGAATAATTAATTATATGCCCCACAAGCCCTGCTAATTCATTTCTTCATATATATTTTATAGCTGTCTTCAGAGCTTTTTTACCAATATGTTCACCCCAGTTTTTCAGTCATTAAAACTCTGATAGCAATAGCAATGGTAAGAATATATATATATATATATATATATATTGGAAATATTCCAATCGGTTTATTACTTCGCAATTAATCTGATTTGGGACGGATCCAGAATTAAGGCTTTAAATCCCTCCCAAAGGTGATACTGGAAAGATTCGAACACATGTTCTCACCCTCACCTGCTGAACTCCCATGCGCCAATTGAGCTACTACCATTTGATATATATATATAAGGGAATGATCCGTTTACAAATTTTTTTTGAAATTTTTTACAAATTACACTATGTTCTCCCGGAGAACATAATGTAATCAGTGTTCTCCCGGAAGAACATAGTGTAGTTTGTAAACAAAAATTTTTTGTAAATATAACTTGCTACATATATATATATATATATATATATATATATATATATATATATATATATATTCTCTTATCATCTAACAATTAAAGTAGTTTCTAAACACAGTCTAAATGTACAATTTATATGTGAAGCGTGCCTAGGATGCTGTTAAACAAGGTGACATCCTCAGGCTTTCATAACAAGACAATGAACTGTTAATAAAACGTGACGGTGAGTTGTCACTACCAGTAGCAGAGCAGTGGTTAATGCTTTGTCTAAATAAAAATGAAGGCATGGTTAATTAAAATTTACAAGTACCAAAGGTGTCCGTTCTCATGAATGCCTCTTGCATTTATTTTAATATATAACTTGTAGTGCTCTTGGATTTTGAAACATAGAAAATTCAAAACAAATAAAAACTGGAAGAAACCTTAAAAAGAACCAATTAAAATTTTCAAGAGTTTGTAAAACAACATATGAAAAAGCAACCTCTTTAAGATACCGCATTCGTACAATATGAAGTTAATAGCAAAAACGTGACCCGGAATTCAACGAAAGAGAGAGAGAGAGAGAGAAGCGCACGTGGTAAAGCCAATGCATGCCTCACCTCTCGCCATTCTCTTCTTCTTTTTATTTCACAACACTTGGTTAGAATGATATAAATCAAAACCCAAAACAAAAAAGACTCCCTTGCCTTGCGTTGAGATCACTGTCATTTGCCTCTGTCCATTAATTAACATTGGCTAATGGCTTAGTCTTCTTCTATTCTTAATATCCATGTTGCTTCCATTGTGCATTTACTTTTTCTGTTTTCCAATGCCCATTTAACATTTAAATGGTCCATTTCAGAATACATATTCGAGCTAATAATTATGAACTGTTAGGAATATATATACTTTGGTAAAAGACCTTTACGTGATATGCGTTTCCTACCGTATTAGTTCTTAACTTGAGCAACCCAAGTATTGCTTTACGTTTCATTGGTATTATTAGTTCTGTGTTTTTTTTTTCCAGTAGATTTTCGCATTGGAAGCATTTTATTCAAGTTTTTTTTTATTACAGGGTTAGAGGGTATCTCTTATTTTACGTAATTTTGAGTCCAAAAACAAAAGATTATAAGATAAAATCATTTACTTAATTCCCAATGGTAGAACTTCAATCTTGTGCTGCCTTGGTCAATGCCTCAGCATTGTGTGCTATAGAACAAGAAGTAAAGGGAGATAGTACTGTCAATGTTGTTGCTGAGATTTCAGCCGAGTTAGAAAGGGAAAGGCAGAAGAATGCGGAGCTCATGGAGAGAATATCAATGCTCGAAGCTCAGATAAAGGAAAGGAACCCCGAAACTCAAGTACGATTACTTTATTTTCTTGTTTCTACTTCTGCTTAAATAAGTGCTCGCTTGATATTGAATTTAGTGCTATATATGAAAATTCACAATTCCTTAACTTGATGAACTAGTAAAGCATGCTTCTAGAATTATATCATCCATCACATATGCTTATACTTCTACTGTGCACAATGCATGTGAAATATAATTATAATTGCTTGATACTACTCAAATCACTTGTTTATTAACAAGAAAAACATCATTACGCCTATTTTAAATTGATATAGACGACCGAGATTTAATGACACTCAGCAACTTTATCGTCATTACGCCTATTTTATTTATGTTCCCTGATTGTTGAAGTTTTCATCTGTTTTATTATTAAAGATGAAAATTTCTTCCTTGATATCAGGAAAATCATCAGCAAGCAGTTGAAAGAAGCTTAAAAATTTTCAAAAGGCAGAAGATAGAAATGGTAGATGATGACATAAAGAATAGGAATACTTTCAAAAATGAAATGGCCTCCCAGTACAAGCTTGATGCTGAAGGCATTGTTCCTAAGGAGAATAATAATCCACCAAAGAGCTTAATTAATTGGATGAGCATGGATGATAGCCAAAATTTGTATCTTGAAAAATTTGAAGACTGCGTTTCTGTTGCAGATTTCAATGAAACAGATAGTGATGATGCATGTGATAATAATTATGATGATGATATGGATAATAGTCAAAGAAATGAGGAAATTGATAACACGACTGAAACTGTTAGTGCCCAAAAAGGATACCTTGCAGATCCTATTGATGAGGAATCAAATTTAACATGCATGGCAAGTTTTTCTGGTCATGGGAGTGATCCAGAAGGTAATGTGAGAAAAGAAGATCAAAAGACAAGTTGCATATTACTTGCTCCACTATCCGTGGTGAGTGAAGTCAAAATACACAAAGGGAAAGAAAATAAAGAGGTTGCAGCATATAAGCCACCACTCGAGGTTCCTTCTTCAGGATCTGTACGTATATCACAGAATAAAAAGCCTCTTAAGGTGGCTTTTTGCCCAAAAGAAGTTAAAAGGATAATCGAGTCTGAAGCCCTTCTGCAGAAAAATGCTCACTCCCACACTGTAAGGAAAATCATAGTTTTTGCATCACTAGGCATAAGACATGGAAGTGAAGATATGTACGAGTTGGACTTCAACCATTTTAGCATTTTGAAAAAAGGAGAACCGTATGTGTCTCCAAAGAACCCTGGGGTAAGAGAAATCTGCAAACTTTTTTAAACTTTTGCGTCCTTCAAGTATACTTTATCATCTTTATATGTACTTCCAATTTCATGATAATTACATTTTCATATGACCACAGTCAATATCAAACCAAACCAAACCTTTTTTTTTTTTTTATATTACTATCAGAAATTACAATTGCCTCGTCTATTTTAGCAGACAAAGTTTCCTGTTTGATTTTAGCATGAAATGTGCGTGAAACCATGACTTTCTTTATTTTCATATCAAACACTCATGAGTGTATACTTTAACTAGTGTGCTTTAGTAAAGCAATGTATTTAAGTTGTTATCTAGCTAGGCAGGCTGGTTGGAACATACGATATATAGGTTTAATAATGGAATTTCAAGAGGGTGGTGTGATTCAGTTGTCTACTAAAAGTTGAGTTATTCACCTGTATACATAAAGAATAATATGATCTTGGGGAATAGTATGTGACTTGTAAAAGAGTGTAATTCATCTCTTTAACAATTTCAGCTACTAACATTTTGCTTAAAAACTACAGTTTATATGAGAAGCAAAGATAAATAATGTTTTTAACATAGTCAATAGTTGTGTGTCAAAAGTGGAGAATATAGGGATACTGACCAAAATGTCACTGTTCATCAACTTTTTTATCTAAATGCCACGCGAACAGTGTTATTTCCCAATCTGCCACGGGAGCAAGTTCACTTCTGACACAAGCGACCTCGGTTTGCTGACGTGTCATATTTTTAGTGGATAACAAGTATTAAATTTAAAAAAAAAAAATTCAAAAAAAATGGAGTTCGCCTACCATGTAGGCCAACTTGATTAAAATATTCTTGAAACCGAGGTCGCCTGTGTCAGAAGCGAACTCTGACTCCACCAGGAAGCTGACACATCAGCAAACCGAGGTCGCTTGTGTCAGAAGCGAACTTGCCCCGTGGCAGATTAGAAAATAACACTGTTCGCGTGGCATTTAGGTAAAAAAGTTGGTGAACAGTGGCACAATGGTCACTCTTCCGAGAATATAACCCTTTAATAAAATTATATCTGAAGCTTGTGCACCTAGTCACTAGTTTGCATGCAGACTTGAATTTTGAGCAATAAAATTTTGGCTCACATATTTCTATTCTGTAAATGTAGTGATTTGTTTTTTGATATATTATGTAGGAGCACGTTTTATATGAGAATCCTGGCGTTCGGAGGAAAATATTTTATCCAAATCGACAAAACCCAGTATTATGTCCTGTCCAGATACTAGAAGAAGAAAGAGTCATGCGTCCATCTGATGCTAGTTGTCCATCATGCTTATTCTTGTGCATTAAATATGGTGGAAGGACAAGAAATCTTCCTCAAAATGAGTAAGTTTTGGACTGGTAATGAACAGAAACACTTTTCTTTATTATAAATGGCGTTAGCTCTTGTGAGTATTGCACTTCAAAATATTTACATGCAATCTAATATGGAGTAATCTGTGGAATATTGAATAATACAGATATGTGAGGCAGCGGATGGGAAGAAACAAACTGAAGTCTTTTGGGCCACTTATGTGCCGAATGGCAATGATGGTTCATATTCGCAATGGAAGCTTTTTCTTCAAGGCCTTAGGAATTACACTCCTGTTTATGGCAGGATTTCCTGATGATCTTGTTCAGAGAGAAACCAAATACCGGAACTTAGACTTGCTTCAGAAATATTACAGGTTTATCAAATTATATACAACAAATAATCCAAGCATAAATGAAACAGCTAGCAAGATATAATTGTCTAGGCATTGCTCTAAATCCCTGCCATCACAGAAAACATATGAAAGAATGAAAAATTAAGTAGATATCATGATCACCAACATATGAAGCTCTATTTCAATTTATAGAAATTTTGTATAGAGACTTTCTGCCCCCACACCACCCTTTTTTTTTTTTGGTTAAAAAGAGGCCTTACTAATTCAGAAACTACTCTAAAAGGCAGCATTTCTTCTTCTGACACATAAGTTTCCGTGACAGGAGTGACGAGGATGCTGAAGGGGAGGAGTTGTTTGTTCGACATCCAATTGCAAGTGACAAAGTAAGATAACAAATCCCATATTATGCACCTGAGTTTGTTGTATCAGCCATCTGTCTGGTCTTTCTCTTTCAAAATCTTTTGCAATAATCTCTTGATCTTCTCGTTAGATTGCTCTTAATCTTCTGTTTTGCCTTGTGCTAGCAGGGTACTCACGAACCCCAGAATTTAACTAAAAAGAAACAACCTGGGAAATCGAGGGGCAGAAAGCACGATAATGCCATCACCAAGTCTCATAATTCACAAAAGACCCCATCTCAAGAGTCAACACCAATAAGTACAGCACCTACTCAATTTGGTTTAAGTGGCTATTCCTCTGCTCACACGTATGCAAATGCAATGGCAGCATTTCATTCAATGCCATCTCAGTTTTCTCAAGATACTTCTCATATGCCAAATCCTGCCCTTGTCCCTTCTTTTAACAGTTCATATCGTATGCTGCCACCACAGCCAGCAAGTACTTTTGTACCAGTTATGTATTGGCCACCTCCACCAAATGCATTTCTTCCATATGGATACCAATCTTTTCCTTCTACTGCAAAGTACATGTCATTCCAAACACAGCCTTATTACAATCATCCCACATGCAGTTCCTCCATACCAAAGTTGTTAGAAGGAAGTGGAAAGAATGATTTAGCCTCAGATGAAACTGACAGTGGCTCTGATTGATAGCATTTCATGTGAAACCGATCAAAATCTGAAACCCGCGTTCCACGAATAATGTACTTATTGCTACTATGTCAACCCATAAATGATATACTTGGAATATAATCATTCGCAGATAGATGGTTGAAGTGCCATGATGCATAGCTTTTCTGTGCAGCTTGTAACTCAAACTTACATGTCTTAATGTGATTTTGGTAGATCATAGATAATCAATTATTATATAGTTGGTAAAAAAATTTGTTTTTAGTTATGAGTATTGTTATTTTTGTCGTCATAGAATGACTACTAGTCTACTATAGACTACTACTATTACAACTGAAAAATAGGTGCGCTGGTGATGTTATAAGACACAGTACTAGACGAAGGAGATACTATAAAAATTAAAGCTAACTTGCAAAATATCAATATTTTTCTTCTTATTTAAGACTTTTTTTTCTCTCCCATTTTTATATGTTAATATTATCATACCCATTATCCAAGTGTTAGTATTGTATGGCATTCGTGTCTCACACGTGCACTTGCTAGATACTAATAGTGATACTGATAACAATTTTTTTTTTTTTTTATCTTTCTATTATTGGGAAAAACGAAAGGATTTCAAATTAGATTTACTGTTATCATTCAAAAATAAAAAATAAAAAGAAAAGCAGTTCTTACAATCTCATTTAACAATACAATCTTACTCTTGCAGTAAGTAGTATTTACAAATAGCTAATCAATAATTATCAACAAATCTAGATTTTTTTTATTTTTTTTTGTTGATATTGTTTGATTCTACTGGTTGATTCAACCTGGTATTCTATTTTATCCTTTTTCATTGCTTATTCTGAAAAAATTATAGTTCTCTGTGCAGAAACATAGGAATAGGCCAGCTGAGCCGAGGTGATTTCATTTTTGGCATTTTCTCCTTTGCAGGTTATCACTGATAGTTATTTTCGATGAAAACAGCAGTACTGGGCCTAACCCAGTTCAACATTCCATGTCTATGAATGTTTTGTAAACATCTCTCAAATATGATATTGGTTTGGCCCACATATCTTTTCCAATATCGCTTTTTTCATGACTACCCTACACACTGGCAATTATTTTGGTCCGAAATGCTACATGTTGTCTGCTTAAGCTATTTTCCAACCTTCAAATTGAATGAAATGAGAAATTTATGCATTTATTAGTTACTTAAAACTTGCTCTAACTTTATAGAATTTAAATAACAAATTTTGTTTTGAAGACTTTGGAAGAAATCCTCCTTCTTTCCCATCTTTCAGTACGTCTTAAATCCAGCTTCTTAAATATATGAGTTTTATAATTCTCATTTAACATGAGAATTACAATTTTTCTACACACCCTTCGATTTCCGTGCTAACATGGGTCTTACATATTATTTTTTCTAACACATGGATCCCACATGTTTTTTATCTCTACAACATGAGATTTTAATTCTCTTTCAACATAAGAATTATAAAACCCTAAATATATACTATATTAGTTAAAATGAGTGATAACGACAATTCACCTATGGCATATATTTAATGGTTCAAAACAAAAAAAAATTTGCTTGCTCGGACAACTTGATAATTCCTCAAGTCCTTATCCTCAGTGCTATGTAATGCACATGCGTTTGCACTGTCCGACGCCCATGATGTATATAGAAAGAACAAACTTTAAATGGCATGAATACCATAAACATTGTCACTGCCATCCATGCACCATACACCACCATGCATTATGCATACATAAACATAACACCTTCAACATGCCTATGCACCCAACACTGATCATGAGCTAACATACATACTAATATATTATCCTTATTGAATAAAGACATAAAAGTTACATCAGAAGATTGAAAATCAAAGGCATCTAAGTCCTCCCATCCCCATGAAATACAGTAACCTGCTAAAAGAAAAACACCTTATTTCTGCATAATATCTTATCTTACAGATTTCTTCCTTCCTCATAGACAAGTGGAAGTCGGAAGCAATTAAGGCTCCTCCTCATAGTGCTTGTTGGCAACATTGCACTGTTTTCTGATCTCACCCTTTGTGCCAGTGAGGGGATTGTTTTCAGAAAGCAAGGCAATAGCTCTAGAAAACTCCTTGAAGAAATAGTCCTGGCTCTTGGCCATTTTCTTAACATAAGGCTTGGTCCTCTTGTCTTTGGCTAATTGGTGATCCACTATCAACAGACCCTTGTTGTCCAAGATATTCCTATAATAGTTGTTGTCTAGAACCATGGGCGTGCCACGATCGTTTCTCACGTATTGCACAGCCTTAGGATCTGGAATGGCGTCAGGGCACTTCTTGAGCATGTGTGGGACATGATCAGGATTGAGCACTGGATCAACCTCTGGGTACAAACGGTGCACCAACTTCACACAGTGAGTTCGACCCACACTGTGTGCTCCTGTTCAACACAAGTTCAATCATTAAAACTTAAAACCATATGCCACAATAGTACCACATACCTGTAACCCTGCCTATTGAACACGCAGTTTCTTTTATCTTTTATATTGAAGCATGTGGACCCTACTTTATATTTATTAAATATATGATACATAATGCACCCATTTAATTTATGTATGCCTCAGCCTCATGCATATGTGTATATGGGAGCATATCATTTTTTATTTGATTTTATTTTTAATGTATAACCTATGATGGGATAGGGAGGGTGTATGTATAGTATTATACCAAGCAATGCAACCACGCCGGGGGTGTCAATTCCCATGGCACCAAATTTGTCAAGAACTGCAGAAATGGATTCATTGTGGTCTGGAAGGAACTGCTCAACCACATCTGCTCTGCTCCTTCTACCATCCCTTCTTCCAGTTTTAAGATGGATATGAGGACCTCCTAGCTGCAACAATGTTTCTAACACACTTAAGAGGCTTGTATCAAATATATGAATGAATTCTTATTTGCTTCCAAGTAATGGATAAACGATTAATTCAGTCATCAAACACTAGTTAAAACAAATCTGGACTAAATAAGCCTCCAATTGCTCTGCTCAAACTAAAAATATGTAAAATAAAATAGCAAATAGATCTGCTAAACTATATTAAGGGTAAATTATGAACATAACCTTAACCTTTCAAAGGTTTAAAAGGAAAAAAAGTAGCAGCTAATCACAGAGAGTGAGTGTGCAAAGAAAGAGACAGAATGGCAAAAAAGAGAGGGGGAGAAGGGAATTACGGCAACAATGCCATCTCTGGCAGAAAGTACAAGGATATCAGCACAGGAAACAACTCCAGGACACTCCCTCTCCACAGCTTCTTTGATGGTCTCAATGTACCTGAAATTCCTCAAACCAAAGCTCCTGTCTGTCTCCTTCTCAGACAAGCTCCTTCTTGTTGAGTCCAGCAACAGTGAAGCATCACAACTCTACCCTCATAGAAATCAACCCAAGATTAACATTTCACAAGTTCTCAAAAGGCCAAAACCTTGCAAACAAAAACAAAACAAAAAAAGTAAGGCAAAGCTTACCTGAACAGCACAATCATGGAAAATGTTCCTGAGCCAAGAGAAAGCAGTGTTCTTGTGGCGCTTGTAGAGAAGCTTGACTTGTTCTCTGATAACATCTTCAGCCTGAGGGCATGTTTCCTTGTAGAAGTTCATAACAAGGCCAGTAGTATCTTGCTCATCCCGTGCAAAAGAAGGATTCAAGGACAATGCTGAAAAGGATAACAAAGCCAAAAAGATGAAAGCTTTGGGAGCCATTCTCTCTACTCTCACCACCAGGCTAACTTGCTCTGCTCTCTGCCGCTGTTTAAATAACAATATACCAAAATAAATGTGCTAATAAAATATATATATATATATATATATATATATATATATATATATATATATCAGAAAGCTTTATTGAATTTGGGGTTATGACTTTTTGGTTAAAGCAGTAAATTTGGGGTTGTGAATTTGATGCCTTGATATTGATCAGACGCTGACAATGATAACAGACAAGGAGCATTTACTAAGTAATTGCTGCACATGTCATGTCCCAAGGTGGGGAAGTTTTTCTTATCCTATTTTTGAGGTTGAGAACTTTGAAGTTGGTGGGGTAGAAGCACTTCTGAGGGAAATGCTCAAAACGGTTGGGTTATATGGCTCATGAATGATCGAAGATTTCGGATGGGTGCTACTGGCTATGATAACAAACGGCAAAAGTTGTTTGCACATGGCAAAAGGCAACATAGCTGAGAGAAAGTAAGCTATTTCAATTCAAGTGGCTTGGCAGAGTGTGGCTCGCTTGGTGAAGTCAATTCATTTTCTGCTTCATTCAATTTCTCTGTGCCCACCAAAAATGTTCGTATAATCAAAATCATTAATGACCTACAAACGATTAATCTTGAAGTATACAAAAGAAAACTAGTCTAGTTCTTTGGTTCTATTTCGAGACAACATGATTTGAGATTCACCGTTATCAATTCTGGGACTTGACTTTGTTCTCATTGCTACACGAGATGTGTATAATAGAATAATAAGCCTCTTGTATATATAAGCGAACCTAATTTACAGGATATTATGTGTAATTGCATGTTCACATTTCTACCAAACAAATTGATAAATGACAACTTGACAAGCACAAAGTCTTTCCCACTTATATAAGTCCTCACCAAAAAAGTATAAAGTACAGAGTACAGACACCCTTTGCTTAAAAAACGAAAAAAAAAAATATTGCTTCAGAAAAGGATAATGTTTTCCTTTATTTAAAATTAATATTTTTATTTCTTAATCAATGCTCTAACAACATTCATACTTCTTGCATATTTCTAAAAAAAATATTACTTCATGTTTATATGACATAAAAATTGAACTATAAATATTAAAAATATAATAAACGCACTTACAATGAATTATTTCATATGGAATATATTTTTATATTTTAAATTAATAAATATATCTATTTCTTATTGAATATTACAAATTCATGTTTTAAGAATATTAGTTATAAAAATACTATTGCAGTTAGGGTCCGTTTGGATTGTTTTTTTTTTCCAAAAATTGTTTTTTTTCAAGAAAAAAAAAAAAGCATGTCTCACTTTAAATTTATTTGAATTTTTGTTTAAAAAAAGTAGAAGTCACAAAAAAAATCAACTTTTTTTTTTTTAAAAAGCTAAAAATTTTAACTTTTAAGTGCCTGTTTGGATGGGCTTTTATTCCTTAAAAAGTTGCTTTTTTTTTAAATAAAAGTCCTTTTGAAATTTTTTAGATGTTTGGATAACAACTTTTTAAAAAAACAAAATTTAAAATAAAAGTTAAAATGCTGATTTTTTATAGCTAATAGTTGGTTGCTTTTGAAAAAAGCAGAAATTAAAAGATAATATAAATTATTTTTTTGGAAAAAAGATAATGTAAATTTTTAAAATACAATTTTAACCTCATCCTATCATACTTATTTTATTTCTCCTTATCCTACGATCATGCTATTTTATCTCTCATTTATTGTAATTTTATATATAAAAAATGCTTTTTTATTTTAACATCCAAACAACTTTTTTTATGTAAAAGTGATTTTCAGATCATACATCTAAACATAAAATAACTTTACCTTTTAAAAAAAATTATTAAAAAAAAAAAATGCATAAAAAGTCATTTTTTTAAAAACTCATCTAAATGGGCCCTAAAAAAAAAAGTCAAAAATAAATATTTTTTTTAAAAGCTAAATAATTTTATAAAAATATAAATACTTTTAAGTTTTGTAAAAATATTTTAAAATAAGAAAGAGATAAAAATAACTTTTTTACGAAAAAAAAAAAACAAACGTGCTCTACTGCTCTTAATAGTTAATTGTAGTAAAAAGTTGTAAGAGTAAATATTATTTTCGGTCATCAGCAAATTTTATCATGTCCGCTTTAGTTCCTAACAAATAAAAAGATTATTTGTGATCCTTAAGAAATTCAAAGTTGACCCGTTTTAATTTTTTTGAGAAATTAATGTGAATCTTTTTTGAATTTATGAGGTACCATGATCTCAACTAAATGGTTCTATTTTAAAATTTTTAAGGATCACAAATAACTTTTTTATTTACTAAAGATTAATACAAACATCATCAAATTTAGCGATAATAAAAAAGATATTTACTCAAATTGTAAACAAGCGTCATTTGCGTCACACGCTGCCCCGTTGATTTTTCTTTGTTTCTTTTTTGGATCTCGAGACAACGGCACTGTTACTCTTCAATTTAATAATTGTTTGTTGTTTTAACCTTACGATTTGGGTGTGAATCAATTAATGCCCCAAATAAAGTGACCCACCCATGGGTTGAACAATAATTTATTAATCCGATATTCTGAGAGAGTCGATGGCAGGTTCGATTTTTATAATATTGGGTGGGAAAGGGTGTGAATTAACGCAAACAGTTATTTATCAGACTGTTATATTAATAGTAAAATTTTCGGAATGCCCACGTGACATAATTGCTACACTATACAGTGAATTATGCTTGCAAATAATTCGCTACATAATATGGCGAAATATGTCATGTCAAGTTGCACAGTCAGCAAAAATGACACATGTCAAGCAGACAGTAATCCGAGCATACAGTGTAGCAAATTATTGCCTGCTTGACACGTGTCATTTTTGCTGACTGAGCAGCCTGACATGGCATATTTTGCTACACTTTGTAGTGAATTGTTTGCAAGCATAATTCGTTGCACAGTGTAGCGAATTAGCTGCGTGGCATTCTGAAAATTTTTCCTACTGTTGACATGACAGTCTGATAAATAATTTGGCCAGACATGACAAAATGGTCAGGGTCCCGAATTAATGCCCCAAATAAAGGTGATTTGAGGTTAGAGCATGTATATCGTTTAAAAAAATTAAATATATATATATATATATATATATATATATATATATATATATATTTTAATAACTTTTCAAAAATAAATAATAGAGAAAACACATCATACAAATATTTTTATATTGTGTTTTCGTAGTCTTTAATAAATTTTAATATACTCTCGTAATAATATAATTGGAGTTTCATGGATATTCATATTTGATTTAATATTTTTTTTCAACCTAACACAATATATTATTAAATAGGATTTTATTAATATCACGTTAAAGGATATAAGTTATCTCATTTCATAAAGACAAGTTTGTGGGCCACCACTTGAAAAAAAATAAAAAAAATGTGGCATAATTATCGATGAGTGTGTAAAAGATAAACTTATTGTTATCAAAAAAAAAAAAAAAAAAGATAAACTTATCACATGTAGCATAAGAGTAATTTTTTCCAATTAAATAATATCATGTGTTACATTTTTATGAAATGATATAATACTCTCAAAATAACTACAAATCCCTCCCTAACATCATTCGGTTAGTATTTGCGATTATATAATTTTGATATTACTATTTCGCTACAATTAATCTTTATGCCTTTAAATTTGATATATTATTAATTTATAATTTTTTTGGTACATTAATGTATAGTATTTTAATATCACTTTATCATGTAAAAAATATGTTTTTTTTTCAAATAGTTGTTATGAAATATTTTTTTAAGTGCAGCAGCTATTGAAGAAATGGGCAACCACAAGCTGAGCACTGTGGGAAAGTGAAATTTTTCAAATGGACAAAAGAGGCTTCTGACCAGCGGAGTTGATTTGGGACTCGGTGACCCGGTGGGTTCTTCGGTCTGAACGGATAATTGAACCGCTTCAGCAGTCAACTCGGATTGGATCGGTTGAACCGGTCGAAACTCGGTGACCCGAGTTAGACCGGTTATTCCTCTTCTTCTTCTTTTTTGGTAATTTTTTTTGTTGATAAGAACTCTTGAATTAAATCATATTCATATTTTATGATGAATATGATTAAAAGTAACGTAAAAATAATAAGGTATTTTAGATTAGTGCAGTTTGTTTATGTAATTTAATTTCATCTTATAATGATCTCATTAAGTTAAGTGGTGATAAACACTGATGGTCTCATGATCTCATCTCAACGGTGGACATTTTTTTTTTAAAGTATATTTTATGCATACTATTTATTTTTGTTTTTTGTATAAGCATGCATACTATTTGTTATCATGATAACGGTGACACTTTTTTCTTAATGTATTTTTCATGCATACTATTTGTTATCATGATTTAATTTATTCGTATCATGTCAAACACAAAAGGTGAATTTAACTTATATTGCAATTTTAATTCAATATCAGGATATGGTCTAGAGCTAGAAATTTAAAAGTATATAATATTTACTATTATTGAAATCGATTTATTTTTTGAAGCTCATTGATAATTTTCTTATGTGAATTTTTATCAATATAAATAATATTTTTATATTTTTAATATTTGAATAGTAAATCCAATTCAACTCGGTTAAACCAGTGACCTAGTATCTCGACCGATTCGATGGCGCGTCCAAGTTTTAAAATACTGCTTCTTCTGGCAATTTCTCTTCGCATGTGGGCGAAAAATTTATGGTACTCTCGTGGTATAAGTGATTAAGTGTGATGGGTCAATTAAAATAAAATATTTTTTGTGATGTGTGTATAAGAACAGAATTTTCTTTTTATCCAAATATTGATTTTTTAATAGAAATCGTGACTATACCGAAAATGCTCACCCACTTGGGATAGTCCTTCTCTTTTCTTTTAAATTGATTTTCTTTTGATTCAAATTTAAAAAAGAAAAAAGAAATTAGAAAGAGTGGGTTGATTAATTTATAACTTAGCAGTATTCAATGACTCTGGATAAGAGATCTGCATCGACAATATGAGTCAGAAGTCAACATCGAAATTTGCTTACAATCTTTATGA